AGCTCCGGGTATTTGCGCCGTTTGCGGGCGTTCGGCTATACCCTGAGCACGACGTATCAGCGGCTCCCGGCTGTGGATGCCTCGTCCGTGCAAGAGGTGTGAGGTGACGCGGGTCGCATCGCAGCAAAGTGGGCCCCCCCGCGGCGTAGCGCCGTGGACGACTACGTCGCGCCGTCTGCAGTGGTCAGCTGGCACTGCCGGTGCAGTAGTGTGCACGAGGCATTGTTGAGGGATGACTTGCCCATCAGATCCGACCGCCTCGCGGGCTACACGGATCCAGGCTGCATAGCCTGTGGGGCGAGGGTTCGTGCTGGTTCGCTAGGGGCAAGCGCAAGCAGCGCCGCAACGCCGCAACGCCAACTGCATGGCCTGCGGGGCGAGGGTCAGTGCTGGTTCGCTCGGCACTATATGATAGCCATGCACCAGCGTCCAGCGTGTGCCCCGCCGGGCGCTTCCGTAGGCAACGGGGCACTATAATAAGCAGATCAGCTGCGCCGGGTACGCGAGACCGGATGACAGGAAGCGCGTCTATCGATGCTGCTCAGTATACGCCGCTGGGGCCGTCTGCTTCGCGGACTGCAAGCCAAGTCCACCGCAAAACCGTTGGCAGCGACGCGAGCAGCCAGGCCTGCTGCGCTTCGGCCGTTGGCACGCCTTCCAAACACTCTTGAAGTGTCTCCCAAACAGCCTGGTCGTGTGCCCGCGCGTACGACGCCGATTTCGAAGGCGGTATGCCAGGCGTGGTTGGCGCGGGGCGAAGGGCAAAACAGCAGCAGCAACCAGGCGCACTGGAGGTCCGGAAGGTGAAGTAGCTCGACGAGCAATCGGCGCTCCTCGTGAAGGCTAGTTGTGAGTTTGTGTTTTTGATTCAACTGTGTTTTCTTATCTGTGTCGAAACCTTTAAACGCTCCGCACTGTTTCGGCACAAGCACTCACAACTAGTGTTCGCTTTTCTCGCATCGCATGCGTAAGAAATTTTCACAACCTACGCTCTCCCAGGTTTGCTAGCATTGCATGGCAGTTTTCCGCCATATCGACGCCATGGATCCGCCCGAGGCAGCCACCTCGGACCAATTGGTCCGCGCACTGCAAAGCCTCGCAGAAGATTGCATTGACATGGGCGCAACGATTCATGAGCGCATAGACGCACTCTCTGACCGCATTCAGGCGGTCATTGCAAAGCTCGGCAGCCTGGAACGCCGCATTGCAATCCTTGAAGGCGCACCGCAATGCACAGACACTGTTGATTCTCCGCTAGAAGAGATGGATTAGCAAGCACTGCACATGCGCAGCCTTTACAGCTTTTCAGTTTCCTCTTTTGCATTCCGTTCCCTGCCATGTCACAGCGCGTGGGGAACAAGAAGCAACGCACCGCCAAGGCGATAGAACGATCGCCTGAGCCATCGCACAGCCATAGGGCAAGAGTCGAAGAATGGCTCGCAGAGTGCATGGCAATGCCGTCTAGTGAGGTTAGCACCCCACCTGTATTCCCCAACCTTGTGGAATTGTTTATATCGCCTCGCACAGCCAGTTTCGTCTTCAGCAGCCTTACTTGGAATGATCGCAACGCATTTAGCATTTGTAATCTCTCAGCAAACCGCCGAGCTGCCCTACTCTGGAACCTTAACTGACCACGCTCCGCCTAGCCCCGTCAATAATCCCCGCTAGCAGCTTTTATTGACGCCATGTCGCACCGCCAAGGCAATAAAAAGCAACGCATTGCTATTCCAGAGCCGCGGCCCGCCAATTACAGCACCGCAATTCTGGTCGAGGCACTGCTGCATCTGAGCAGTGAGTCTCCAGGCACTGCAGAATACATTTCGGGCAGTTTGCCAGAAGTCTTTCTTTCGCAACGCTCTGCAAGCATTTTGCTCCGCTTTCTCGAGATGCCAGCTAGGCGAGAGCTTTCCTTCATGCATAGCACAGTGCACCGCAGAATGTCAGGAATATGGGATCTCACGCCTGGAGACCGAAGAATCTTAATCACAAACCTTCACACCACATTGGCACTGCAGTATCTTCGTGACCGCACAGCACAGCATGGCATCCCTGGCGACAGATGATGATGCATCGAACTGGTTGGCAGTTGGTTGGCACAAACGCAAAGCCCTGCATTTTTTCTTTGGTGTTTGGCATTGCGCTGTCAACCCCGCACAGCTCACGCACTGGCAAGCACAGGATTCATTGAGTATGGCATCGCTTTTTTCTGAAGGCCCTGCACAGATTGCCCCAGGCATCGTGTGCCTGGGCCCGCAACGCACTCGCAATGAAGTGCGCCGCGTTGAAGTGCTTAGCGCTTGGCGGGCCGCCCGAGCAAAGCTCTTGCAACGCATTATTGGAAATTGGCATAGCAGCGTTTTATGGCAACAGCACTGCAGATATGTTTCAGCCTTAGCACATTGCCCTGCACCACATGAACCAGAAGGTGAGCCTAGCACAGAGCCTCGCACATCTCTGTGTTGCGTCGCAGATGACCTCCGCGCCTGGTTCAATATTATCGCACGGCTAGATCACTACGGCATTCGCAATGTTCTGGTCACTGATCGCCTTATTTGGCATCGCACTCGCATTGCTCAGCAACGACCAAATTTTATATTTATCAACGGCCGCCCTGCACTTGTTTGGCGGCGTGGGCATACCTTGCCTGTTATCATATGCATAAGCCACCCTAGCACAGAATCCGCAACATGTGATCGTGCTTTGGTAGATTTTCTTTAGCACGGCACATACGCATTGCTTTTTGCACAGAGACGCAACGCACAAAAGCCATGAAAAAACAGCAGGCCTTGCATGTTTTCTCGAGGTTTCTCTGCAAGCCGCAAAGCACTTTTTCGGCTTGCTTTGCACGCTTGCACTCACAGCGACAGGTCAGCCGCGCTGCACCTCGAGGCCAGCCGTCTGGACTTCTCTTCGGGTTGCCTTACACCCGCTTCGTTCTGCATTGCTTGGCTCGCCTAGCCTCGCATCGCTTTGTCAGGTCAGCCGCGCTGCACCCTTAGGCCAGCCCTGCTGGTCTTTCTTTGGCACCTGCCGCGCCTGGCAGGCCACATTTCAGCTTCAGCCCAGCACGGGCCCCAGAGAAGCCACTTCTCGTCTTTTTTCGCTCAGCCTTTTGCCCCGAGGGCTTCTTTTTTGCCTGGCCACGCAGTGCCCAGCTCAGCAAAGTTTTAGCAAGGCCTAGATTGCTATTTGCTGTTTCTCTCTGCCTCGCAAAGGTCACTACTACAACCTCGACTCGGAACCTCAGTCGTTTGCGCCAAGCCTTTTCTTCTCTGCAACCCCTAAGCCCCGCCTAGCCCAAGTATGCTCTGCCCAGGTCCTGGATTTCTACGACATCGACCCGCGAGGACTGCTCAAGCCCTGCATCTGCATCGTGTCGCACTGCTTTCTTGGCCTGGGTGTTGCCTCGCACAGCACAGATACACATGATGTTGCATAGCCTTTTGTTCAAGCATTCTTGCTTCTGCATTGCACTGCACTGCCTTTCGCACTTGCCTCGCCTCGCATCGCACAGCAAGGCATGGCCGGGACGAGCACAGCCCTGCAGGCCCTGTTGCAGGCGTCGCGTGAGCAACGCATCGGCGCTTTTCGGCAGCTCGGCTATGCCCGCATTGATGCCTTGCAAAGCGAGCTCAGCGAAGCCCGCCTGACCATCTTTGGTCCAGCGGAGCATAGCACTGCACCGCAAAGCGCCGCTGCAGCCGCATCAGCAGCACCGCCCCCCACAGCCACCGTCACAGCCAAAGCACCCCCCGGGTCAGGGCCCCCAGCAAAGCATCAAGCACAGCCTCCCCCCCCAGCACAGCAGGCACAACCCGCACCGCCACCACAGCCCACACCACCGGCATCGCCCCGCACTACGCCTCGCAGAGAGCGGGATCACACGCCGCGCCGCAACCGCACACCGCCCCGCCCCAGATGGAGCGACGTGGAAGATGACTGGGGGTCGTCTGTTCCCAGCACTGCCATGCCCTCGTCACCGCATTTCGGGCAAATGGGGGGGGCCCCGGATTTCGGCAAAGGCTGGGGGAAACAGGAATGGGGCCCCCCCCAGCATGCACCGCCCTTTGCACAGCATATGGCATATGCCCCTCTCACAGCAGCCCCACCGCCCTGGCAAACGCAACCCGCACCGCAACAGTGGCACCCTGCACAGCCCTGCCCGGCTGGTTGGGGGTACCCGCCCCCGCCACCACCACACGCAACGCAACGCCCTGCCTCGCGCCGCGTCGCAGTGTCCCCGCACATCCACTGTGAGGTGAAGTGGTATACCTCTCCCTTAGGGGATGAGCGCCCTGCCTACAAAAGCGCCAAAGGCGATTGGCTCTGCGCTGCCATGTGCGAAACGCACTGCAAGTTTGGGGGGGCGGCCTGCAACAAAAAGTTGCGGATGCCCCCCCCAAGCGACGGCCATGCGCCGCACCGCTGCAGCAAGTGCAAGGAAAGGGATGAGCAGGACTCTGATTGAGTCACCTGCCATCCCTGCACCGCCCCGCAATGCATCATATTTGAACCCAGCCTAGCCTAGCCCTAAGAATAGTGGCTTTATTATGCCTAAACCCCGCATCGCATTGCACTTGCAGTAGTTTTTGAAATGCACGGCAGCATCGACCTGCCTTGACTGCCGCGCCCGGCAGCTTGCAAAAAATCACCGACACGGCACTGCACTGCATGTACAGCAAGCCTTGGCTATGCATCTATGCCTTTTTCCTTCAGGACAGACGCCCTGCACTGCCCGGCAAGGCCTCTCTTTTGGCAACATTCAGCGTGCCATTTTATACATAAGCAAACCCGTCAGGACCACCTTTACGAGCACATCCAGGCGTTCTAGGCCAGGCATTGCCTGGCACCTCAGGTTGGCCCGGCCCTGAATGCACTCTTCAGCCTTGTCGCTTCAGCTCATTGACACTTTGCATTGCACAGCACTGCCCTGCATACACAGCCCGCAAGCAACATACAGCATCCTCCGCAGCCTTTTTTCTGCTCAAACGGTTCAAACCATGAGACGTCGTTGGGCCCTGCAAAGCCAAGATCGCACTACCACTGCACCTTCCACTCCAATCGAAGTGGAATCTCAGCCAGCATCTCCTCCCAGGAGCATAGCCGATGACTTCGAGGCACATCTTGCCGCACTGGCCGCAGAACCCGCACCGCCTTGTTCCGACTTCATAGAAGACCCTGCACCTATACAGCCTTCCATTGCTCAGGTTTTCCAACGGCAACGCCTGCTGCAGGCACACCCTAAGAATCCGCCCAAGGCCAAGCATAGCCATGGCGACCTGCCGACAGTTGCTGACTTGATAGTGGGCCCAGCCACAGCCCGGGCAACGCCCAGGCGCAACACATTTTACCCGCCCGTCCCGCAGGCGGATAGAGCATTGCACCTAGCACCGCCGCCAAAAAGATATAGGCCCGAGCCGACACTGCAGCTTGGCGGCCTGCCGCCACCGCCCCCTCCATCGCTGCCGCGCAGCCTTGCAGACTCCCATGCTACGCAAATCATCCCGCACGGCACTTCTCCGAATTCGCCAGCCACGCCACGACCGCCTCCGGCATCTCAGTCTCCTCTTGCGCCTCCCAAGCAACGCCCGGTCAAATTCAGGACCATGCGCAGCTCCCTGGCTTCGCGAATGAACATATGTGGTACACTTTGGCTGCAGCTTGTGTACAAGCTCGGTAAGGCCTCGCATCTTTTGCAATCGGTAGAAGCAGCCAAACAAGCATCGGACCATATTATGGCAGTGATCCGCAACAACACACCAGGCACACTGGAGCGATATCTCCGCATTGCATCGCTCTTCCTGGACTTTCTCTGCAGCTCCGCAGTCAGTTTCCTTGACGTCAGCCTGCATTGCCTACTCGACTTCCTCGCCCTAGCCAGAGCATCGCACAGCCAAGACCTTGAGATCCATCGCATCAGCGCCACTTCGTCTATCAAAGCCCTTCGCTGGTTCGTAAGGCAAACGCAATGGTCATGCCTTAGCAACGCCTTAGATAGCCCGATCATCCGGGCCTATTCCATCAAAGGCACTGCCCAAGACCGTCGCGAAGCACTGCCCATCCCCTGGGCACTTATCGCTGCCTGGGAGCAGCGCGTCTGTGACCCAAACGCCCCCGTCACAACTGTCGTCGTCTTGGGGGCCGCACTGCTCGCCATCCACGCCAGTCTGCGCTTTGGCGACCTGCAACGCATCGACTTCTCCAGTCTTTCGCTCTCCACTTCTGCATTGCACGGCACCTGCTGGGCGACGAAAACTACAACGCAAGGCCAGCCATTCGCCGTTACCCTAGCGGGTATCACCGGCCGGTGCAAGGCCACCTGCTGGACCCTGCACTGGCTCTCCGCATTGCACCGCATTGTGGCCTCCTCATCGGAGGATCCACCAGATTTTCTGTGGTTCAGCACGGCACTAGACCAGAGCTCGGTCGAGGAGCTCGCCCCTGCATCTTACTGCACTGCCCTGCTTTGCCTCAGGTACCTGGCCACACTGCCGTGGAAGGCCAGCGGCAGTGGTCTCTTGCCCAGCGAGGCTAGACAACTCACTCTGCACAGCATGAAAAGCACCCTGCTGGCAGCAGCCGCACAGCTACGCGTTTACAAAGAGCTGCGCCTGGCTCAAGGACACCACAGAGACAGCGCAAGGCTCTATAGCCGAAATGACACTTTTGACAGCCTAGATCTCCAGCACCGCCTCGCACAAGCCTTCAGCACGGGCTGGCGACCAAATCGCAGTGTGGCCAGAGGAGGCCAAGCACCCATTCCAGAGCCTCCGTTTCACCTCCCAGCGGGGGAGCCACTGCAAAGCATCACAGCCCAAGAAGTCCTGGCAGGCCCTTGGAAGGCCTTTGCATCCAGGCACGAAGAAATGCACGCCGCATCGCAACACCATCCGGCACCTACACAGCTGGACCCACCATCGCAACTGGCTACGCAAAGCTCGCCCGACATCATTGAGCAATTCTCGCCAGCATCGCCAGACCCCATCGCACCCTTCTCCGATGAAGAAGCTTGGATGGTGGAAAACGCGGCATTGCAACGCCAAAGCTCTGAATCCTCCAGCGAGGCATCGTCAGTGTCCTCCAAAGAACCCTTGCAGATAGATGTGGAAGGACCAACACCGCTCTTTGCATGCACAGGCCCTTGGGGCTGCTGGCACTCGCTATGCCCCCCTGACGAATCCGGCGTGCTGCGCACAGCATGTGGGATCAAGCTAGGCACAGCTGCCTTCACCTCCAACGCACCGCCACAACCTCATTGCCGTCGCTCGGCCTGCGTCGCACTCCGCAATGGCGCTTGAAGTCAAAAAGTGAACTTTCTCCTGCTTAGTTTTTTACTCGCCGAGTATCCTGCAGCCCTGCCTACTCAGGTCTCTCTTCGGGTGCGCCGCCCTGCACTGCCCTGCACCAGATGCTCTGCACTGTCATCCTTACTTCCGCAGCCGTTTTCTTGCTCGAACTTAGACGCACTCTTTCGCTACTAGCCTGCAGAATGGAGTCCCCGGACGCACTTTCGGATCTCCTCTCACAGATGCAGGTGCCTGAAGCCCTCTGCAACGCACTGCACAGAACCGGCATTGAGTCTGTGCCAGATTTCGCTTTTGCATACAACAGCACTGCAGACCTTGATGTCTTCTGCTCTGAGAAATACGATGAGCTCTGGGATGAATTGGGCGTGTCAGACCCAGTGCACTGCCCAGCAATGGCGCGCCTTCGCCGAGCACTCCGCCGTGCACAATCCATGACGGAAGTGGCAGACACCCCTGCCTCTCACAGCACTGCCAGCACGGCCCAAGCGTCGCTCAACGTATGGGCGGAACACGCCCCGCCCAGACTGGACGCATCCAGCATTGCACAGCTCGTCAAGGACTTTCGCACTAACTACCCTGGCGAACACCTTGACAGCGACGCCATGCCCAGCGTTCGCTTGCTTAGCATAATCCATCGTTGGTTTTCCCCCGGGAACACCATCAGCTGGGTGCCCTGGCAACTCCGACTTTCGGAGAAGCAATATCAAGAACTCATAGAGAGCAAAGCATCGCGCACCATCCGCACTGAAGCGGCCTTCCTCAGCACCGCACTGTTTGACGATACACCGGAAATGCCGGTGGATCACCTCAGGCTGAGCGCCGCATGGCTTGGCAGAGTTCAAACAGTATTTCGCAACGCCATAGCACTGTGCAAAGGAGCGCACCTGCAGCGCCTGAAGGCATATGACAAAAAGATTCTTGATCTGGCGACGCAATCGCCAAGCGACGCATCGCTCCGCACAGTCACCACGCAAGAGCTTGTCGCGGCTGACCGCAAACTGTGGCGCGAGATCTCGCTTTTGCACAGCGCCGGTTGGACATTGGATGACGCCTTGCATGAAATGACAAGCATCCGCTCTGACATTGGCAACCTCCTCCAGCTACGCGCCCGGCCGCCTCCCCCCCCGCAAAAGCCACCGCCTCGCCTACCGAACAAAGGCAACGGCAAAGGCAAAGGCAAGGAGAAAGGAGGCAAAGGCAAGCAAGGCACACAGCCAGGCAAGAGGCGCACTCCCGGCGAGGGCACAGCACAGGAGGTCAAAACAGCGGACCTCGTGCAACAGCACGGCAACAAGACCTTCTGTATTCGGTACAATAAAGGGCACTGCAAGAACGCGCAGTGCAAATATCTTCACGCATGCGCATACAAAATGCCCAACGGTGAGCCTTGCGGCAAAAGTCATCCCGCCTGCCAGCACCGCAACCCCCAGGAGCCGCCCAGCTCCTGAAAACCGCAGCTGGAACTGGCCGGGCAGGCCCAGTTGCCCTTGCCTAATCTCCCGGCTGCACAGACTTCATCCGCCACGCCTGGCACACCCACAGCACCGGCACACGTGCCCGCGGCACCGTCAGAACAGCATTGCCCAAAACCACAGCAACCTGAAGCAACTCCTTGTACGCATAGTCCAGCACAAATGCAAGAAGACAGCCCTACGCACAGCTCCGCATCCAGCTCATCAGAAGCAGAAGATGCCGAGCCTAAAACATCCAAGCACAGATTTTTGCTGCACAGCATAGCGGATGACCCTTTCAGCTGTGACCGCTTCTGCTACCAGTCCATGGCACAGCATAACACTATAGAAGATGCACTTTACTCTGCCTGGCATAGCCTAGTCTGGTCTGGAGCGCTCGGAGCTACACTGCTCCTTTTTCCTGCGCAATCGTTTGACTTGGCATCGCACACCCGACTATGTGCGCTTCTTCGGGCGGCGCACCTTCAAGGCAGTCAGGTCTTTTTCGAGTACCCCAGGCACTGCGATGACAAGATTGCAGAGCTGTACACACAGCTGTGCCAAGAGTTAGCAGTGCACTGCATACAAATGAAGCTGCCCCAGAGCGACGCATCGCATATCATTTGCTCCACGCATGCAGCACTGGCAGGCGCAACACAGCAAGCTGATCCATACCAGCACATGCTCTCTCTCGCAGCGCAGGAGTGCACATCACACCTCAATGCCCCGATCCAGCCAGCAACGCTGCAAAAGCATCTGCCGCGCTGCTTTCTGCCACGCAGGCCCGCGGTTTGCGATGGAGCAGGCATGTTCAGCACGGCAGATCACTCCGCCAATAATGTAAGCAGTAAGCCCAAGCCCCTAGCAAAGCTTGCCTCTGCCTTTAAGCAATACCTTACTAAACACGGCCTCGTTTCGCATATTGCTAAGCATCTACAGTCAGGGCAAGACTCGCACCCGCTTAGCGAAGATCATCGCAACGCCTTGGCAGACATTGTGCATCAGACCATGGCACCTAACATAGACAATAATCAGTTTCTCCGAATCTCGGACGGACAGCCCTTCCGGCTCACAGCACTGCAATACCTTGCACAAGCCATTCACGATAAAGATGCACAGCTACCCATCATCCTTGATGAGGGAGTGCCGACAGGCGCTTTTGGAGCCCTGCCAAGCAGCGGGCAGTGGCCCACAACGCAAAGCTCCTTAGACTTTGCGGACGATTTTAGCCCTGCATCCCTCGAGCACTGCAGGGGAAACTGGTTCCTAGCGGAAAGCAACCCCGCACTGCTGCAAGAGCTAGTGGAGGAGGAGGTGCGCAAAGGCTTTGTCGCAAAGTTTGAAGGCACCGAAGAAGACGCAAAGCGCCACTGGCCGCAGGGCACTGCAATCGGCAAATTAAACATTGTCATGGCCGAAGGACGCGACCCACGCCTGGTCCTTGACAGCACCGTGTGCGGACTTAATCCGGCCGTGCATCTTCCAGAACGCGTGTCCTTGCCCAACGCCTCGGACGTGCAGCGCACATTTCTGTCAGATGACTGCTATGCACAGCTTCACGCACTGTCGCTAGACTTTAAGGCAGCGCATAAATGTTGCAAAGTCAGCCCCGCAGACCAAGGCACCTTGCTGTTCCGAGTTGGCAATTCCCTGTACTACTACAAGGTTTGCCACTTCGGGGCACGCTTCTCGGCATATTGGTGGCAACGCACAGGTAGCCTTCTACTGCGCTGCATACATGCGCTGCTGTGTGACTATCCGCATAGAGCCTGGCTTTATGTCGACGACCTCCTGGCCCTGCTCCGCACAGCCGACAAAGACATGGCCACCGCACTGATAGTTGCACTGCTTTCAGCCCTGAACGCACCCATCAGCTGGAAGAAGGCTCAGTTTGCACAGGAAGTTACCTGGTGCGGGTGGACCATTCGCACGGACGCAGAGACCATTGAGCTCCGCGAACTGAAATTGCACAAGCTCCGCGAGCAGCTAATTGCACTTCAACGCAAAAGCAAAGTGCAACGCAAGGAGCTGGAAGGTGTACTAGGCCTACTAAATTGGGCCACCTCCCTAAGTAAACATATGCGCCCCTTCATGGCACCGCTCTACAAAGACCTACACAGCTGCAAAGGCACGCTGCACAGCATTTCACCTAACATGTGGGGCACCTTCCTAGATTGCCTCGACAACAACGCAAAGCTCACCCGCACGCCAGCAGGCTCTTGGCTGCCACGCAATGCACAACTACTTGAGGTCGGCAGCCTCAAAATAGCAAGCAAAGCAGATGTGCCCCTGGTGCCGCCCTCGCACAAACACCAATGGCTCAGGCTTGCAGACCCGCACCGCTCTGAAGTTCACCTTCGGCACGAAAGCAAATTCGTCCTGGCATGGCTGCAGCATTGTTTTGCACATGAGCAGCCTCGCTCGCTGCGCACAGCACCACGCATGCACTGCTACAGTGCGGCGGACGCATTCGCAGATACGCACCGAATGGGCATTGGAGGTTGGATCAGCACTGCCGACGCTTTCCTCTGGTTCAGCGCCATCTTTTCTGCAGAGGAAGTGCGCAAGCAATGGCCGCAATTGCAAGGCAGCCTGCAGCCTTACATTGGTTGCTTTGAATCTCTCGCACAACTGGCACTGGCACAGTGCTCTTGGCAACTGCTACGCAGCAAACAGATCCGCTTTGTTCTGCCCACAGCATCCGACAATACCAGCGCAGAGTCTGGCCTTAATAAGCTCTTCAGCACGGCAGAGCCTCTGGGGACTTTTCTTCGCCTGGCGGCCACCTGGGCGCATCTGCACCGCGTGCAGTTTGAGGTGGAGCACCTCGCCGGCGAAAAGAACGTTTGGGCCGACAAGCTCAGCAGGGGCTCCACTGCCTTTCTTCAGCATCGCACTGCTGACAAAGTAGAAGTCACGCTAGCGCAACTAGCATCCGCATCGCATTGCGTCACATTACATGATCACGCACTCTCGTGGCCGCAACGGCTACTTGACGCACAGCACGCAATGCTTAAATGATGTTTAGAAAAAGAGTGGAGTGACGCTTCTCTCTCTCTCTCTTCTGGTGAGCACAGCCTTGCTTTCCACGCTCTGCATGTCTCACGCCTTGCCTCGCCAGGTACATTCACCAACTCGCGCGGTGAGGGATTTTTGTAGCAGAGGTTGTCGAAGTGCACCTAAAGTGGGGGTTTGCTCGGCATCGCTTGCCGCTTTCCCTTGCGAGCAATGCCTCGCGCTGCACTGCACTCTCGAGCAACCTCTGCGGAAAAATAGAGCGTCTGCAGTTCGCACTGCACTGAGCGTTGAGAACAGTTAGGAGAACGCTAGTTGTGAGTTTGTGTTTTTGATTCAACTGTGTTTTCTTATCTGTGTCGAAACCTTTAAACGCTCCGCACTGTTTCGGCACAAGCACTCACAACTAGTGTTCGCTTTTCTCGCATCGCATGCGTAAGAAATTTTCACCCACCCTCCACGCCCTTGGGGGTTTGCTCGGCATCGCTTGCCGCTTTCCCTTGCGAGCAATGCCTCGCGCTGCACTGCACTCTCGAGCAACCTCTGCGGAAAAATAGAGCGTCTGCAGTTCGCACTGCACTGAGCGTTGAGAACAGTTAGGAGAACACGCGCGTCCGCCCAGGCTTGCGTGCCAGGCCGGTGTGCCCAGCACCACGATCCCGCGCCGGGCCGACGGCTTGTCGCTGCGCCAGACATCGTCACCCAGCTCAGTGATGCCGGGCGTTGGCGGGAATGCTTTGGCTGCTATCACCCGTGTCTTGCCGAGGTTGGACATGATGCCGCTGCAGTGGTCAGCGACGGCGTGAGTGGCAGCATCCAAATCAGCGCACGCGCGCAGTTCGCGACTGTGACGATGACAAATCGTCCAGGAAAGCCATCAACGTGTGTCCTGCGTGTGGGCCGGAGGTGGCATGCTGCAAGGCCTCATGCTGCCCCAACGCGTACAGCGCTGGGGCGAGCGGGTCGCCTTGCTCGCACCCCTCCCCTTGCTTGACTTCTCTGTGCGTCCCGGCGTTGTCCCACCAGCTGTACATGGAGGGGCGGTCGTAGAACATGCGGGTGAAGGGGAGGAGCTCCAGGGCCGCTTCGCGCAGCATGGACAGGCAAGCTGCCCGCGACATGGAGTCGCAATGAGACGCAGGCGCTGCGACCGTAGACCAGGACCGCATCACTGCGCTGGGCGAGTGCGACCCGCACGTGAGCTGCGAGTGCATCCGTGTCCGCCCGCCCTCGTAGTGCGAACTGGTATAGGCGGGTTGCTTCATAAAGCACCGAGGCGGCAAAACGCGTCGCGTGTGGCCATGCCCCGCACTCCGCCGTCAGGCTTGCGCAGAGCCGTGCGTATTTCGCCAAAAACATGAACAAAATTCCCCTCTCTTTGCAATTCCGCGTTCAAAGCATTGGAAGCCTCTGAGGTTTTAGCCTCGCTTAAGCTTTTCTTACATGTGCCCCTGCAGGTTTCAATGCCCAAGTTTTGACACAGCAATGTACTTTCGAAATCGAACCATGCCTTTCGCGTGAGCTTCGCAGTGGATCCCGTTTTTCTGGAAATCTAGAAAATGTGCAGCTCTGGCATTCCCAGGCACAAGATGTGTGTTCATTTCGCAATAGCCAAAGAAAGGCACATGTGCGTGCACTTGTTGCTCTAGCCCGGTTGGGAGACGAAGTCTGCAATTTTGCAAACGTGAAGTCTCCGAGTAGCGCCATGATCCGTTGGCTTGCGGTGTGGCTCACCTTGGCTGCCACGGTTTCCTACAAGGTATCTTGAACAATTGGAGAGAAGCCAAAGCCTACAAGAGCTCGAGGTTCGTGCTTTCCGTGTGGCACGGCTTCAGAACAGAAACAAAATCACCGGTCACCGGTGTACCATTCTCGGCTTGTACAGATGTTCTTGTGTCATAGATGGCTTGGCAGTCTCGACAAGTTGGAGAGGCACGAAGCTGTTTGTAGCGTTTTCGAACCGCGGAGGTAGCAGCAGACGACTTGTTAGGGTGTTTGTCACCGATTCATTTCGTCATGTCCGCCGCTGTTCGGGGTGTCGGAAATCTGGAGTTCAAGGGCGTGGTCTAGCCAGAGCCATTGTGTAAATCCGAACCCCCACGTCTCGCGGCAAGCAGGTGTCCGAGGCACCGATAGAGATAGTTAGCACCGACAACGAGACCATAAAGGAGAAAGTGGAGAAGATTGCCGCCGAGAACTTGAAGGAGGAGTTCAATGAGATCAATGGCATCCCGAACCCTGAGAATGTCACAAGCAATTCCAGCAATGCCACCCATGGATCCTAGCCAGAATACCAGTAAGCGTCGCGAAACCAAAGTACCTGGTACAGTAGGCCGATCGGATCGATCCTGCTCCCTTGCCAAGGTTTTGGCGAGCTTGGCAGGAACTTCGAGTTCATGATGCTCAAGCTGGCTCAGCTTGAGACGCTCTGCGAGTTGCAGCAGGTCGAGATCGAGTCATTGAAGAAGACCGTCAAAGGGCTTGCCGAACATGTGGATCACCAAGACAGCGTGGTGTCCTTGGTGCAGAAAGACGAAAGCGCCAGAGTACAGGAGGCCCAGCACACCCTGAAGAGGGTGCTCGCCAAGCATGCTCGGCAGCACAAGACCAAGGAATTCCATCCGACGCTTGCCCGTCAAGGTCGTCACGAAACCAAGACTGAGGCGCGAGCTGAGGGATCACGGCGCGCTGACTCGTCTGGGCCGTTGAAAGTGCCTTGACTCTTCTTGCTCCAGCCCGAAGTAGTCAAGCTAGTATTGCAGGTCGGACTTGGCGAGCTTGGGGTGTGCATTGTTAATACTGTTTTTATTGCAATGATGATTCAGACTTCGAGCTTGCTTCAACAAGTTCTTTTCCCACTTCTGAACCTATCTCGGCACCCAAGCTTCCCCTCTGTACCACCCGAAGCTCCAGGCCACGAGTCAGGCACAGGCTATGCTTCTGAAGCGCGGGAAGACGACGAAAGCTGATATGGGGTCCTTGGACAGTTCACTCTCTGCCAAAGGCGTCCCAATTGTTGACGAAGTAAAAGATTTCGTGGAGGACCGCGTCGAGGCAAGGACGGGCATCAGTTGTTTGGTTTTCACGCCTGTAGAACAAGCAAGTGAGTAACATTGTGTGACGTTTTGTAGTTTTCGTATTGCGGCATCTGTGCAGGCTTCTGACTTTTGACTGTTAGTCGTCAGAAGACGGCCACTGTTAAGGCAGCCTTGTAGCCTTTGCAGGATCTGTTTGGCAACTTTCCAACTTCCTTTATGTTTGCGTCTGTGTTCTGGGGCAGACTCCTTCAAGAGCTTGGCCCGGCAGAGCCCAAGAGCCCCGAGATGCCCCAAGCACCGCCACTGCGTTTGACACGGCCTGAGTCTAAGCACAAGCAACAGGACGTTAAAAGCGTCGCCGAGAGCACAGCGGATGCCTACGAGCAAGCCGTCGACAAGGTAGCCTGCACTTCGCGGCTGGGAGTTGTTGTTATTTAAAGGTTTCCGAGGGGGGCCAATGGGTTAGGCCTCGGCGGAGGATGCAAGTTGTTGGATGCCAAAAAAGTTGATGAGGCTGCATGGGTTCAGCCTGGGGATGTTGGTGGGGTTGGGGATGCGGACAGCTGTAGGTGGCTTTCATCGCCCAGACGACGATTGATACAGTGGAGATGGCCGTGCAGATCCTCCTGAAAGGCTTCACCGACTGGAGTGCAGGATGTGAAGACCCCGTGTGGCCCAGTATCGAGTTTTTCGATTGGACGCTTATCAACCTGGGTGCTGGGATCTACGCACAGTTTGGCTACCAGAGTTGCTGGGTCAGACTCATGGGCGAAAAGATCACCCTCTTTGAGTTCAACTTCGGACACAAAGTGCTGAAATGGCCTGAGCCTATCTCAAAGATGATCAGGCTCGGCAAGGACATTGCGGATTGTGAAGGCGGAAATGTGTTTAAATGCCTCAGCAACAAGATCGTGGAGGAAATACCTCCGCTGGACGCCATGGTCTCGCACTGCAGCGGCAGAAACCTGTTCGAGTGCTTTGGGAACAAAATCGTGGGGAAAGTGCCGCCGCTGAACGCCATGGTCTCTATGGGTCGCGATCTCGCGACTTGCTTCGGTGGCACGGAACCGATCGAGCTGTTCAAGTGCATGGGCACTAGGATCGCCGAGAATGTGCCCCCGTTGAATCGCATGGTCACCCTCGGCCGCGACCTCGTGAATTGTGCCGAGGGTTCAGAGCCTCTCGACCTCATCAAGTGTTTTGGCTTCAGGCTCCTCAAAGAAGTGCCCCCCTTGAACTTCTTGTCCCGCCTCGGCGACATCTTCGCGGAGTTCATCGACACTTTCGCCAAGGTGGCCACCACCGTCGTCAAGACCGCCATGAAGCACGGCTTCTCGCTGGTGCAGACAGCCGCCACCTCCAAGTTCCCAGAAGCGGGCGCACCACCTGCTATACACCACGCGGGCAAGAATCTGGTCATCAAGACGCATTCGCAGCATGCAATGCCTGCAAGTCACCTCGAGGCAAGAGCTCGGAGGGCTTCGACACGGATGTCCGTGCTGCAGCAGCATGCCAACGCTTCGCTCGCTGCTGGTGGCGATGATGACGACGAGGCTTCGGCGGCTGTGAGGGGCGAGGCAGCGATCTCTTTGCAGGTGGGGCCTTACGGCCCGGAGACCACAGAGCTGATCACGCAGTTCGACGCCAAGGAGACAGACACCGGCTCGTGCCTGGCTTTCGCGCCAAGGACGAAGACCGGCCAAAACGGCCAGGCGACCGAAAAGGATTGGCAGGTGGACAGCGACGACAAGTTCATACAGTTGGAGCCTTGGGCTGTGCCTTGCGACAACAGCTGGATGCAGAAGAATTGGGACAAGTGGCAGGGGTACACGTTCTACACCGCGAGGTCCAACATCGAGAAGTGTCTCACCGTGACATTCTCCATGGGTGTGCAGCCCGTGGTGGCCTTCGTTGGTGGGGTGCAGTTAGACTTGCTGCCCACGCCTTTGGTCCAGCTGGACACACAAATCTGTTGGCCGAAGCATCACCCCGGTGGAGTTGACATCAGTGTCCTGCGCACGGAGATCCGCACTGCCGGCATCCTCCTCTTCAGTCGCACCATGCGCTTGGCCAAACGCTTCGGCGACCACACGAGCTTCAGCGGCAGAAACCTCAACAAGGGTTTCGAATCCTTCAGAAGCCAGTTTGGCTTGGATTGGGCAAGATCGACGTCGGAGAGCGGCTCCGGGATTTACAAGATGAAGCGGACGACACCGCAACTCCTGGAGACCAACAGCAGCCTCAAGCAGGACAAGGCTGACGTGGAGGCCGAGCTGCAGTGGGTCGACGCGGAGGACTTGTACATGGCATCGGTGGAGTATGGAGAGCACATGTCCGTCAACAAGACCTCCGAATTGCGCGGGTCGGCTGCACACCGCAGAATGAGCATGATGCAGTCGCAGTCCGGGCAGTCGCAGTCGGAACCCGAAAGCTACAAGCTGTTCGGATTCAAGAAGCCTGGGAAAGTCAACTTCGATTTCCAGGGCCTCCTCACTGGCAACACCCTTGAGCTGCAAGTGAAGATGGGATTTGGGCCTTTTGAGAGCCCGGCGCAGCGGATTCCGCTCTTGAACATCGTGGACCAGTTCTCTGCCCTCCTCCACGCGTTGCCCTTTGTCTCAAAGGGCAGTCGTGGGAAGGCCGAAGAGGCCTTGAGCGATTTCTCCGAGAAGGACGTTGGCAAGGTGGAGAAGCACGCCTTTCCGGGGGGTATCGTTCCGGGCACCATGGTCGCCATCTACAGCAGGGCCTGGCGACGATTCATCAAGCTGCGCGACAACGGGGTGGTGGAGAGCAGCCCAGTGGTGTCCAGCGCAGTCATGCCAGAGGCATGGGGGTGGGAACGCTTCACCGTGGTGGATGCCGGCAATGGCCAGATCGCTTTGCACAGCTGCTACAACAACCGCTTCGTGCAAATGGGTGCTCACGCTCCCAAGGGCAGCGGACATCACAGCGCCCGCATTCCAGACTCCATGACATATGAAAAGTTCACCGTTGTGGATGGCGGGAACGGCGAGGTGGCCTTGTACAGTGAAGCCTTCGAAAAGTTCTTGAGGATGAACGGGGACAAGTTGGATACGAGCCCAACAACATCTTCCCAGTTGCATCCTGGTTGGGCGTGGGAGCGCTTCCAGTTCGTAACCTTGCAGCCCTGGTTCGAGCCCGGCTCGACGATCGCCTTGCACAACACCCACCACAACCGCTTCATCCGGATGCGCCCTAACGGAAACCTGGATGGTAGCCCAGAGAGCAGCACCTATCAACCTGGCTGGCGTTGGGAGCTCTTCATCGTGGTAGATGCAGGCTTCGGTGAGATTGCACTCTACAGCCCCGACCACCTCCGCTACGTCGCCATGCACAGTGGGGCCGCGGGCCCCACCATGGGCAGCACCAAAGCCGTCTTCGGCTCCCAGCCGGGACCAGAGGAGCGTTTCGCCGTGCGGCGTGTGAGCGGGGAGTTCGGCCTCCACTGCAGCGTGCACAACAGGTTCATCACCATGGAGGGTACCACGATACGACCCACCGCGGGCCAGTTCTCTTTCTCTCATCTGAACGCCGTTCACACTTGGGAGCGCTTCCGCATCGTCAAAGTCGAGGATGCACCCACGCACGTCGAGACGAGCAAGCAGAGCTGGACCTACGACGCCTGAGGCACTTGTATAGACTTTGCCGCTGCCAATTAGCTGAGAGGCTCTTGTTGAGCAAGTTGCAACTTGCGACAATCTTGCCTTGTCTACATGCCAAAGGCCCTTGGCGTCGGAGGGGAATCGAGGATGCTTCGTCTTCGTGGCAAAACTCGGACTCCGACCAGACTCAAGGGTTTTTAGTGTGGATCAAGCCACTCTTCCGCGAGAGCCACGGTGCGAAGCACCTGGCATCCGCTTTGCATTGATTTCCTATTGATTTCCTGTTGATTACGTAGAGTTCAGAGTCAGAGAGCATGCTGCGCACACCCGCCTTTTTCCCGACAGGCAGGGTCCTGCAGGCTGCAAAAGGAGCTAGTGCAGTGCATGTTGCCTCTGCAGAAGCATTCGAGCATCTACCGGGCACTGAAATCACATCGAATGTGCTACATGGAGCTCGAGGTCATTTGACCTGGCAGACTCCTCAAGGTGTAGTTGGCTGTTCCGAGTGAGTGAGTGAGAGAGAGAGAGAGAGAGAGAGAGAGAGAGAGACAGAGACAGAGAGCGAGTTCCATGACCAGCTAGTCTAGGGATCCACTTTGGATGCAAGTCTGCAGCGTTTTCCATCTCATACCAACAGCTTCTCCTCATGATGCCCCAGCCAGATTGTGCCACCTGACATCCTGCGCTTCCTGGAACTCCGAGCCCCTGAGCCTTTTTTGAAGCAATCCGAATTGTCTGTGTCATAGTGTCATAGTAGCTTTGAGCCATGGCGCTGCGTAACCTGGTTCCTGGCCGCAGCTTGAGTTGCGTTGTGGATCCTCATGGAGGAGGACAGGAAGGAGGATGGGAAGTTGAGAGTAATATAGTATAATATAGTATAATATAATATAATATAGCATCGTTGTCTCCAACCTCCCCCAGGCTTTGATCTAGGGTTTCGGACTTGCCAGGCGAGGTTGAGGGACTAGAATCGCTTGGCCCGCTGAGAAGGACACCTTGACGTTAACAGCTGTGCATGTGTACTGTTGACTGGTTACATGGTTGGTTGCAGGGGTTGCTTCGCGCCATCCCTTGACTGTTGCTGAAAGTCAAAGTGGAATTGTGCATACATTGACACTTGTCTAGTGTGTTCATTCTTGCTCGTGCAAGGACCCTGCCCCCATGTTGACATGATGCTCCGAGACTTTCCGCTCGCATTGCTCCAAAGCATCCTCGCGTCCAAGTCTTGCACATCGGGCCGAGATGGCTCCCAGAACGCAGAGGCTAGTCTTTGGAGCCACTCTGAGGTACTTGAACAGACGTCCTCAGAGCAGTACTGGAATGTGTCATAGCTGGCTGAATAGCTCCAGCCTACAGCAGCATGACGTTGTTCGATTGGCGGCGTAGGGGTTAACATATACATCGTTCACCGGGAAACTCAGCTTTATTGCCGTCCCAGCAGTTTTAGGTGCAGCGTCAGCATGCCTCGGTTTGTGCGTCACCGGTTGTACCGTGTGGCTGCATGCGCTTTTTTGCACAGGCGTGTGCAAAGTACGTGTGCAAGGTGAGGATTGCGGTAAGGCCCAAGCACACGCCGAAATCGAGGCATATACCTGGCATGCAGGAGGAACGGCAGCCTGAAATTGGCTACACTTTGTCGCTTTGTGTTTGCCCGTGGCGGCGGACAAACACCGGATGTAGGGTATCCTGGGATACAGCGTGCATGCACTTGTCAATGAAGTTCGACGGCGTTTGAGGTCTGTGACATTGCGCAGCAGATCTCAGTAGTGCCAGTCTTGGTGCTGGTCAACAAATGCAGTTCCCACAGCCAATGCAAGATGCAAGTCGAAGCATGAAGCTGGTGATGAGGAACAGAGCATGCAACCCTCGATGTGTGTTTTTGCCGAGGGTGTGAATGGAAGTGTGCGATGGGCTCCACGTGCAAGGATGTGGCAGCACGCGCATGAGAGAGCCAACAGCGGAGATGAGGCAGTCTCCTCCTTTAGTGATTGAAAATGCCCGTGACCATCTTCTTCCCATTTCCCAACACACCCAACAGCTGTGTTACATCACGTGGATAGTTTTCAAGATTTCGGAGTTTCCGAAAATTAGGGGTGCCTTATTTTGGGATCCTTATAATAAGGATCCTGCTTTTTAGGGTGCTATATTAGGGTTCCCTGTTTTGGATTCTGGGAGGCTGACGTGAGGGTACGCATCTCAGCAGGCATCTAGAACCTAGGGTTTAGGGTTTAGGGTTTACTGAAAAGGGTTTAGGGCTATGACCGTTGGTGCGTCAAGATGTCGAGTGCGGGTTCTATCCCTGACGGGAGAGTTGCCTAGGATGTTCATGGCCAAGGCGTGACAGTGCTAGCATTGAGCCCGCTGCCCATGGCAAAGAAGCCACTATTTGCCTGCCTCGGTTCTGAAACATAGGTGTGCATGCGCTGAGTGTGTCCTCACTCCCAATGCGTGTTGGCACATGTTGGCACCTCGTGCACGACTTCCATTGCATATGGCAAGGGGTCATGACTTTGCTCGATGCATCGTCTGCAGGCTTGCACATGGCCAACAAGCCCGCGAGTGCAATAATTTATCTGCGAGATACCAGACAGAGCATGCACCATGACCGACACTATGAAACTGCAGATGATCGACTCTCATTGCAAGATTGTGACACTTCCTGTTGTCAAGGTGTGGGGGCGGGGAAATGCTGATTGACGTTCCATGCAGAGGTGACGGGTGCTTCTTCTGGATTCGTGGCATTTCCTGTTGCAATCGTTCTTGATGCCATGTCTGTACCTGAAGCCGGCGTGGGGGAGAGAGGCGGCCCAAGTCTTCAGGTCAGTGCTTTGCGAAGATGTAGGTGCCTAAACCCTAAACCCTAAACCCTAGGCAATACCGTATGACACAGCATGCGATTGTCAGACTCGTGCTTTTCCAGCTTCAGCGTACCGACCAGCTTGAGTATGCATCCCGTAGCCTGCGTAAGTGGAAGACAGTGTTGGCCACGTTTGGCCGTGGATATGTATTGATTGCTCACTCCCCTAGAATAGCGCACTATGCAATGGGCGTCAATGGCGGCCCTCATCCTGTTGTGAAACGGCTAAAGTCATTTTGTAGAAGCGGTCATGGTATACCGTGGAACTGCTTGTTTCGCTCGCACCCTTCTTTCTTGTGAGACTCTGTTGCATGTCACTTTGTTTTGGAGACTCTTGCCTTTTTTGGGATGTCTAGGTGGCCACCTCAGTTCTGGCAGTGAAGGAGAATCCGACAGTGTTCCGGATGTCGTGCATGCTGATCTACTGCCATCTCTGCAGCAACGCGTTGCTTCCGACACCACGCGGTGTCTGTCTCCAGGCTGCTTATTATGGATGAGCCAGCGACGGAAACCATAGGAGAAAATGTGCAGGAATGCTCGCACAACAACAGGGTAACTAGGCACATGCGATTCAGCTATTCAGCATTTTCAGCATGCTGCAGCTGCTGGGGATGCTCCAGCGGGTCTGTCGCTACCCCAGGCCACAACCAGGAAAGTGGGCCTGGACATGGGCTCGCCGGCGACCCCAAAGCGGCGGAGAACGGCCCGGATGTTTTCCAGCTGCATCGCCACCACCAGAGACTGGTGACCTTCTTGGCCTGGAGCTGTTCTTTGCGCTTTTGCTTTGTGATTTGCGTCGCGGACCCTGGTGAGCAGGCCCCGCTCTCAGAGGGTTTGGGAGTGTTCCTTCCCGCGTTGGCGGGCTAAAACCCTGCCAAAACCGCTTGAGCCGTCCCGCCAACATGTTGCAGGCCTTAGGGCCTTAGGGACTTAGGGACCAGGTTTAGGGTTTGGGGTTTAGGGCTCTTCATGGTCTTCTTGGGGCTGTTGAGAATGCGGATGCGACGGAAAGTTCATGGCAATCGGCAATGGTGTGGCTCTGCTGCTGTCCCGCGAGCCACTTTCATTGCAAATGCTCAGACCAAGGTGGGCGCGGACTTGAACCCTGCCACTTCAGCTGTAGTCCCGAGAGCCTCGTGAGCTATATCGAGAATTTCTTGCGTCCCCGTGTCTGCTAGGAGTTGCGTCAGCATCTCGTTACAGAGTCATGGCTGTTCTGCTCTACATCCATTGTGCATCAAACGCGGAGATGTAAGGCAGGGCTGGACTGCAAGACGCACTCTCTCAAATGGCTCAGCGAAAGCACTGGGTTCACGTAGCTGCATGATCCGAAAGCCGGTAAGCATGCCCTGTTGCGATCGCTGCCAAGAACGAGATTGGCGCTTCCCATACGATGTTCAGCTGTAGTCCCGAGAAGCCGTGTGAGCTATAACGAGAAATTCTTGCATCCGCGTGTGCTAGGAGTTGCTTCAGCATCTCGTTGTTGAGTCATGGCTGTGCTGCTGTGCATCCATGGTGCGTCAAATGCAAAGATGTAATGCACTTCATGCCGGACTTGACCGCAAGACGCACTCTTTCAAATGGCTCATCGCAAGCAATTGGTTCACGTATCTGCATAGTCCGCAAGCCAGCAAGCATGCCTTGTTGCGTTGTCTGCCAAGAGCGAGATTGGCGCTTCCCATGTGATGACTTTTAGTTGCGACGTTTCTTTTGACATCCAAGAAGCAGGGAGTTGCGAAACACTCACTTTCATGTGTCAGCATATCTTTAAGACTAGCGCAAATGAGGAGAAAGGGACATCATGACCCACCCTTGAATGAATGCCTTTGCATCCTCGAATCCTATAATCCCCCAAAGGTAATAGAACCATTTTGGTCATGAAGGACGTTGAGCGTCGACCCTCTTAAAGGCATGACTGCATCACACATGCTTGTAATGGACTCATTACAACCTGCAGCCGGAATTCGATGAGCCATTTCGAGCTTTTTCACTTGGGTTGGCATCTGCCGCATCTTGCTGGAGGATTCAGAAGTTGCCTAAGTTCAGCATATCCGGACCGCCACAAAAAGAGCCGGTGGCCCAAGGCCCTTGCTTTCTTGCAGCCTGCCGGGACTCTCTGAGCTGTTCCTGTACAGAGCCGGCCGCATCCTAGAAGACCAGGTTTCCA